AGGAAAGTTAAAACATGCATTCTGAGTTGGTAATATTCTATTTGAAACTATTAATGTAGTTACATGAAAACAGTGAAGACTACCTCCTCTTCTTCACAGATTTTCGATGTTTGTTATGATCAGTTTGATATGTAATTATTAGTACTTTTGTGTATTTCAATTTTCTTGTATGTTTGAAGTTACTTTTAAATTTATAAGTAAATCTTGTTATTTAGTGCTGGAATTGATAACTGTAAATCATCTGCTGCTTCAAAAGAAAACTTTTCACAGCTAGTGGATTTAATCTCAGTCTGAAGTTATGTAGTACTGTGGTCAGATTAATGCTGGTAGTTGTGGAGAACCAAAGAATGGTAAGTAGATAGGTAGCAAGCGGTCTCTGTTGATGAGGTGTAAAAATGATGGAGACATGAGATGTCAGAGGAACTGTTTTATGTGAGAAGGAGTAAAGACTTCTGCGGTGGTGATAGGAAGACATCAGTAACAGATCAAGTAATGGAGATACATTCAGGGAACCCTGAGTAGCTATTGATCCAATACTTTTAATGTCAGTTCAGGTACTTATGTTAGTACCAGACCTAACCATTTTGAAAGGATGCAAAAGTAAGGGGATTTGGAATTCCCATTATGTTGTTAGTGCGTTCTTAGCTCTTGTACAGCTTGCTTACTCGGTCTCAGTTCGACAAGGTATTTTGAGTGCACCTCAGACCATTAACTCAGAAGTGATTGTTCATTAGATACACAGGGAGCTTCTCACCTTTGAACTTCAGTCTGGCTTTTCTTCCACTGTCACAGCCATTGCTGTATTTACTTAAGGGAGTGATGCTTTTAGTGAGTATTCCATACAGCTTTCAGCTATAGTATGGCTGTAGAGATTTGTTACGTATCGTTACACTTTGTAGTGACTCAGACACTGCTGCCTGAAGCAGTCTACTAGCATCTTTCTAGTTTTGAGCACAAGAAGAACATGTTTTCTAGCAGGTTATTTGTTACTGTGACTGTTGTGACACTTGTTAGAAGGTTACCTGTCCTAATTTAACCTTCTCCTCTACACAGGTTAAAAAGAAGTTTAGCCAAGCCCTACAAAAGAACTTTATTAACCAGGGAATTCTTTACAATTGTGTGGAATGCTTCTGGAATGACTTTTATCTCAAGAGGTGTTCAGAATCCAGGCTAGCTGATCCCTAACAAAGGGGACGGCTTTGGCTGGTTTATATTGGAATGGTTTGGACCAAATTGTCAGCAGTATAAGACATGCTGCCAAAGAATAACAAGCGAGTCAGAAGGAAGATTTTTCCTGTGCTGTGTGGTTGTAATAAAATATTGTCACTGCTGTAGGATTGCTCAACTAGCTTATGTTTACTCAGTGTTCTCACAAAACTGAATTATAAGCCAGAAAAAAATTCTTAACTTTATAGTCTGTTATCAGTAGAGGGTGCTATATACCTTTTGCCTTTGATCTGGAGAGGTTGTATGCTTATCAAATATATTTTTAGTTATTAATTTATTATTCAAAATTTAGTTCAGTTATACCTTTGCTGACATTAGCGAAGCAGCTTACTATAGTAGATCTTGATAACATTAATGTGATTATAAATAAATGAGCAGATTTTCTGTTCAGTAAGAATCCACATTATACTGTGATCAGCTTTGTTATAATGATTTTACGATTAGAGAGTGCTTGCTCCTACTTATGTATGGTAATAAATTTATGGAGTCTAGTTTATAGGCTTACAGAAACACAAACCTCACTGTGATATTTCTTATTGGTGTTTGTTGTCGGTGTGGTAATGATGTCATCAGACAAGATATACAGCATCTAAGTAGCCGCTTATGCTGTTCAGCGTCAGGGAGGTAATAGGTGAATTTGAGAAGGAGGTTGTGTGAACGGTAAGGACAAGGAGGAGAAAAACTAGGAAGGAGGGGGCTAAGGGGAACAGAAGGTGAGGAAGGAGTAAGAAGAAGTACAGAGGGATAAAGGTGAGGTGAAGGCTTCTGATTTTGGAATTGCTCCCTGCTTTCCCTAACGCTGCCTTCCTAACTCCTGTGTCCTAATCGCCTTGTTAGGCCTCTGAAGTTTCTGACTTTTTCCCGCAGTTAGTGTCCCAGCTGCTTATAGCCTCTTCTGCCAATTGCTGATAGGTTGAGTTATGAATTTTGCTGCTGAAAGAAAACAGAAAACAGACTGTGGGCTTTCTTGGCTTTTCCGTTATCTTGAAGTCTGGGGGGAGATGGTTTGATCTGAAAATTTATTCTTGGAAGAAGTCTTACGAGCTAAATGATTTTGATTTCTGAGAACTGTTAGAACAGAGTACCAGGGGAATATCTTGATATGGAATATCTATCCATCATTCTGCCAGTTCTGTTCTTGGTAAGCATGGGATAAAAGGGATGTTCCAATTTAGAAATACTCTTAACTCCACTTAGCTTTGTAGAAAGATAACTGAAGAGGCAGAAGGTCAGTGAAGATTAACTTTTTTGAAGGCTTATACTGAATAGTCACTATTGTAATCCTCTACTGTTTTGTTGGGTTACACATTAGGCAGGAGTTCCCAAAGTAGTGTTCCTGGATATTCTGGGCTAGACTTATATTTTACTTCCTGGAAACAGAGAATCCCATGGCCCCTCTAGTAGCATCTCTTCACCAGATTCCCACCAGGCACCCACAAAGAAAAGGAACAGGACAGCTCATCCTAAGAAAACAAACAAAACAAAAAATCCATTGCCTTTCAGGCTGGATGAGGTTGCTCTTTAGTAGGGCTCTTCAAAGTAAGAAAAAGGCCTGGCTGTCCTCTGTAGTCCTTATCTATAGTTGGACATTTTGGGGAATTTTCTTCCTTAGAGGCATGTCTCTAGGCTTCCTGTCCCTTCTGCCTACATAAATCTATTGGTTAAGATACAAGGTCTTGGATCAGTCCCATCACTTTTCTACTGTTTTGTTATTGACTGCTGACAAGGTGCTATATAGGACTTGCAAAGGAGAAGTGTTGTCTCACAGAGGTCTGCCTCATGGTTGAGACATCAGCTGGGTCAAGGGGGGGCAAGTCCCTGTTTCCTACTGCTGTCCAAAGAGAACATGACAGCTGTCCTGACTGTCTTTCTGCCTGTAGTGGGAGGAGTGGGGAGTGCTGAGGAAGCTATCAGAGCCTGGAACAGGGGGCTCTCCTATTTCTACTCACCTGGTAGCTCTGTTGGAGTGGCAGATGGTAAATATGAGGTCTGAGATCCAGGGCTGAAAGCAGTGGAGGCCTTGAAAACACTTAACTGCCTAGCTCAGAGACTGAATGCAGGGTGGCTCCTGTGGGGACATCCTGGGGCTGCTGGTGGTCCCTGTTGGTCCAGGCAGAGCTAGGAAGTTCTGGAAGAGAGAGAGAGAGAGAGAGAGAGAGACAGAGAGAGAGAAAGAAAGAAAGAAAGAAAGAGAATATCCATTTCAAGCTCTGGCTGTGACAGCTCAGCCATGCTTCTGAGTAATCCAGACACTTAAACCATATCCCAGCACAGCCCTAGCCATTATAGCTTAAGTGAACAGCCAGCTATGTGCAGGACAGCCTTGTAACCCTTGTTTTGGTGAACTTAACAAGGGTTATAAGCTGGCCCCCAAAGGCAAGGAAGGTTATGTTCGCTAAAATTAATAAGGTGGCTTGGGGGCAAGTGTAGGGTATGCAAGGAGTAAGTTTTATTCTTTGCCCTACCACAGACTTCCTGGATGACTGTGGGCAAATCACTTTAGTTTCTTCCTGCTTATCTTTCCTTTATGGAAGATAGAAACAATAGGTATTGCCTATCCTTGCGTGAGGGAAAAGCACTGAAGATTGTGAGGAACTTGGATCCTGAAGTAGTAGAAGCCCAAGGCATTCACCCAGAGGAAGGAGGGGTACTGTGCTCAGAGCCGGGAGCCTGATTTGTAAACGCTATTTGGAACAGAATAAGCTGGAAGGATTCAAAATAGATCTTTCCCCCAAGTAGCAATTATTAAATTTCAATATAGTTCTTGCTGAGAGCCAGTCAGTCAAATCATAGTGGCGTACCATTTCTACAGCCCAAGAGGTATTGCTGCTGTTACTGCAGATTTCCTGAAGTAAACTATTTAAGTGCTGTATCTGCAGCATAAAGCAGTAACCATGAGGTGGTGAGGGACAGCATTTTGCTCAGGGGCCTCCCAAAGTTAGTTTATACTCAATACCAGAGTATGATGTAGTGTTGTCTGAACTAGCCTTAAGTCATTTGGCTCATGTGTTGCTGCCATTTTGCTAGGTCAGAAAGAAGCTCCATATAGCCTAAATTCTCAGTAGGATAAATTAATACTCGCTGAGTTTAGTGCAGCTGAGGCCTGGCTAGTTTTGGTACATAAATGAGCTTGTTTTAAAGCTGGTTCAGGATCTGTACAGTAGCTACCCTGTACTTCTGTACTGCAGACATGCAGCTTTTGACCTGAATTACTGAATTCTGAATACTGAATTTTGACCTGAAGGTAAACAAGAGGGAATCTGTTACTGATAACAGCAGTGTGTTTAGGAGAAGCAGAGAATTGTAGAGAGGACCAGAAAAAGAGTATGACGTTTGTCTTCCAGAAGTTTAAATGAGTATTAATGATCCTGAAATAGGCCAGACTGATGTTTCTGGAAATAACTCCTGGACTGGGAGTCATGCCAAGTGACTCCAGGCATTTAGTGTGCAGATACCCAAACCTGAACTTGTAATATAGACTCTCTTTGTAGTCAATGGACAGAAAATGCACTTCTGAAGTGTGATTTATGTTAGGTGTTGATCCCGAGACGAGAAAAACATGATATGGAGGGGTCTGTTTCTCTGTGGTGAATGTTGTAGACCATTTATCTAAATTTGAGTGGTAACTGCTTTAGGGGCCTGGGATAGATTTCAGGTAAGGAGGTGGAAAGCTCCGTGTCCTGTGAGCTAACGAGTCCTTGTCCTGTAATGTTTCAGAAATACTAGGAAAGCGCTGCTTCTTAAAACTTCTCATCTTTTTCCTCTCTACACAGTGAAATACAGTTCAGCTCCTCTAGTACTACCACTTCAGAGAGCCAAGAACCATCTTCTGGTGATCAAGCAGCAAGCGCACTTCAACAGCAGCTCTTACTGATGGTGGCACGAAGGACCCTTGCAGAAACCCCACGGGTATGTTGTAATATCTCAGTTTCTAGCATTTTGATAAATTTCATTGTAAAAAAAAAATGCTGCAGACTTGTTGCTGAGACATTTCTGTTGGTTTTGTGTGCGTTTATACCTACTACTGCTCATATGGGAAGATTTGTTTTACTCTGATGCAATTCAGCTGCCTTTCTACTGACACTGAGTAGTGTCTTAGAAGAGTGGTGTCACTGGTGTGAAGGGGCTATTCACAGAATAAGGAGGAGGCTGGGCATGTGAGTAAGAAATCCCTCTGCAAAGTGCAGAACTGTAGTCTGTACTAAAGACTCCATCACCTAAAGAGTTGTCCTTCTGTCTTCAAGTCTTATTTGAAAGAGAAAGGGCACAGCTGTTAGGATTTTAGACACGTTTCCAGATTTTAGTTGTATGACATGCTCACTTCTCAGATTCATTACTATCTTAAAAACTCACATCTAATATGACTTTTCTGAATTGGGTAACCAGATGTGTTGTCATCTTCTGGATGTCCGTTGTGGAACCTCAGAGCCACCTCCCTCAGTGCAATCGGTAAAAGTAAAAAGGACCTCAGAGTTTAGTTTGTATGGTAATATGCGGATGTATTTGAACTTTATAGTGCTTGGGGTCTATGACCAATGACGTAAGGCTGTGGTCTGCTTTTACAGTTCCTTTCATAATAACTTTAACCTTCTATTTTCTTCCAGAGACAGTTCTAGTTTGATATTTATGTATAGCCTTAAAATGCCAGTTAATTATCCTTCATCTTAGATTTTGAACAGGAACTACAAGCTAAAAGCAAAGTATATAAAGGGAATAATTTAAGTTATAATTCGGGTAATTGTCCCTATTTATTATGAATATGTATATTTCAGATTTGGACAGAGATTTCTGTCTAACGGCTCAGATATTTTCCAGTTATTTTAAATCTTGTAAATTGCTTGTAAATTAGAGAACGATTATCACTCTTCTTTGGCTTCTAGGAAAACTGCACCATTAAAAAGTGAAGTATATTGCTCAAGACCACATAATGATTTTGTAATAAGGCCAGGCAGTAATTTCAGGACTTCCTGGTTTCTGAATTTTTATTAAATGTGAAAGCCTGAGCCTAAGCAAGTCAGGAAAAGTTTTGTCATTGATTTCCATGAAGCTAGGATTTCAAGCTGTCTCTTGATACCATATACATTTATGAAGCGAAGTTTTTATAACCCTTTTTGTGACAGAAGGCACAATTAGACTTAGTGACTTGCTTAGTGCTGGTCAGAAAGTTTCCCAAACATAGCAGAAAAATCTGGTCCAGCCCGAGTACTGCAAGCTTTATGTAATTGACTTTATCAGTATTTCACAGTTCCTCAGGAGCAAAGGTATTCACTTACCTACTCAGTTAAATATATGTTAAACTGTTCTGAGGTCCAAGCAATCAGATCTTTAGATATTTTTAGTGGACTCTGCCACCATATCCTTTTTTTCTTTTTTTCTTTTTTTTAATGCTTTCAGTGAGCAATCTAGATTAGAAGAGTGGAGCTAATGACTGCAGTTGAACTGAATTTCATAGTACCTTCTGTTGGGATAAAGGACCCAAGAGAAACAGAGCTATGCCAATATTAGCAAATATAATAGTAAAAAATACATATATATGTATATTTTTTAAAAACATAGTGACTTTTTAAAGTGATAATAGAAATATTAAATTGGGGATATCTGAATTACGCTTAGGTTCTAAAATCTCTGTAGCAGAGGGGTTGCAATCTATCTCAAGGCTTTTATTTTACTTGGAATTGTTAATAAATGAAAGAATGGCTAATAGGCTGTCAGTCTCGTACACATCTGTAGGCTCAGAAACACAGCTGAGTTACTGTCCTCTGCTGATATCAGCTGAGCTACCAGGCGTTGAGTAGATGTGTACCTTTACTCAGTTGGAGGCATGAGATAAAATGTGTAAACCTGAATCTCTTTCAGTGAAGCTTGAGCTAACGTGTTTTATCTCGTGTTTGCTAGCGGAGAATATCAACAAGTCTGTTCCTGTGACTCAGCCTAATACATGATGCCACGATATGTTAATTATGTGTAAAATTTGTTTTCCTGAAAAGCAAAGAATAGTAGCTGTTCCAACACTCTGAGAGAAAGATAGTTAATTCCCTTGGTCAGGCAGAGAGGTCCTTTAAATATCTGCATTTTGCTTATAGATGAAATTCAGGAAAGTGATAAATTATTTCACATGGGAATGCCAAAGTGTTTTGAGATTTGAATGAGAAGGGTAGACACCAAATAATTGACTAAGAAAAGTGATATTGCATAAGAGACTGCCTAAAAATTGGAAATATTGAATGTCTGTAGGGTAGAATCAAAACAGTTTAACCCCTGTGTCTGAGTAGGAAGGTTAATCTCACACAAATAATTCTAACGTAGACATTACCTGGAGTTCTATAACAAATAGGCTTATTATCTAATGTTGCTTAGTTATCTTTAACAACTGGAGGGCTAGAAGGAGCTTAAAAAAAAGCTACTAGACTTTATACTAGTTAAAAATCTCAATCAAATTCTTTTTGAAAGAAAAATCAGCAGTAATTTTTTTCATAGTCCAATTATTCCAGTTATTCCAATTATTGGTGTATATTGGAAGGAAACTGCTACTTTGCAGAGGTTTTTTTGTTTGTTTTGTTTTGTTTTGTTTTGTTGTCCAGCTTTGCAAACTGGCTGATGGGTCTATAGGTAATCCTCCCTCTCACAACTATTGGTGAAGCAATGCAGGTGTAGAGCTAGAGAAGATCTGAAATGCTATAGTTCAAACATTGGAAAGAAGAAAAAGCACTTAGAATCTGACAAAAGCAGTATTCAAAAGGCAGGGTTTATGGTTATGTGGGTAAGATTAGAGAGTCCTACGCTAGTGATGTTTACACTGCTTGTGTGTGTTTGCGATTTTCTTTTCCCTCTCGCAGTTCTTGAGGATGCACACCTGATGGGTCATTAGAACCATCTCAGCAAAGATAAACAAAGCTGCATTCTGTAAGGAGAGTTGACAAGTCATGTCTCTAGACCTTAAAGCCTGCTTGAATTCTTGGCTGAAAACAAGAATTTGTCCTATCATGCGGTTTTGTGTTGCTCTGTAATTAGTCTCCTGCATGGAAAAGTCCTAAAAAAAACCCCCACAAAACTCCACCTCACAAAATAGCAAAAAAACCAAAAACAACCAAAAAAATCTATAGACAAGAAATAGAATGGGAGTAAAAGAGAAGTAATGTGTTTAATGAGTATTTAATAACTGTGTATTTAAGGCGTATTATCACTGTTGAGCTCTGCAATTGGTGTAACTTCTATCCATCTGCAAGAAATTAGGCTAGTGTGATACATTTTTTTTAACATAATTTAAATGAGGAAAATAATTATGCTTCCAGTATGCCATTTAGGAAGAAAAAAATCTGAAACTTGATGCAATTTCTGCCTTTTAAACACCTATTTTGCAGGCAGCCATGTGTCAATGTGAAAGTGTTTTGTGTAATTCTGGTTTGTTTGTTTTTAAAGCAACCCAGTCAGGACCTTGAAGATTCTTCATGTTCTTCAGCACAACGGAAATTGAACAGGCAGTTTTACAAATTTATTATATTTCCTGGCAAATGGATTAAGGTCTGGTATGATCGGCTCACCTTGTTGGCATTGCTGGACCGGTAAGCTTTCCTTATGCAGTTCTATGTGGTGTTACAGTATGTGGCTCTGCAAGTCCACAGAACTAACAGTGCAGACTGCTAGAGGAGCAAAGAGTGATAGTTCTGTTACTGCCTCATATTCAGGTTAATTACGTTTAACTCATGCTTAACTAGAAGAAAATGTTTTTCTTCTGACTTAGTTCTTGTTGTTCACTGCTGTTCGTCTTGGAGCAGATACTTTGATTCATGAGGGCACCAGGCCTGTGGAATAATTCTTGAATTTGACTATCAGATGTTGGGTTTACTGCATTTTAATGAGAAGCATTTTAATGAGAAAATCAGTGTTTTTTGTAAAAATATGGAAGTGCAAAAGGAGGGAAGCGTTCCAGGGAATTGTCAGCCAAGTACTTCAGTCTTTTAAAAAATTTTGAAGGAATTCAGGAGAGTTCAGGAGGCAATTTTTCAGCTGTTCCCTCTGTTCTAGTTCAGTTTTATTTGTTCAGAGAGTTTTTTTTTCCCCGGCATCTCTTCTTTTCCTAGTCTCTTAGTCTCACTTGGTATCAACTCTTTTGACAGTACCCTTTGCTGTTAGACCCCACCTTGTGCTCTTCCGGAGTATGAGCAACCTCAGACATGTAAACCTGCATGCCTAATGACTGCTGGATGGCATATCTGCAAGTTGATCCCTGCTTTTGGGTGGATGTTATGCCATATAGGTTAATATAGGCTCCACAGCAATAATTTCAGAAGATAGCTTTTACATGCTGCAGAAATCAGGCTATATAGTCAGGGAGCATAGGTCTGGAGCAGATACTTCTTTGTCTATGGTCTTATCAGTGTTTCAGTTGCATGGAAAATTTGTTATAGCCTGAATATTAACGCTATTTTTTTCCTCAGCTTCCCTGTTCTAATGGAGCAGATAAAATGAATGAAAAAAGGGATGACAAATTTCATCTTTCATCCAATTCTCTGTTGTCAGATGTATGTTTTAAAGACTGCAGCGGTATAAACTGTCACTTTATTTGGTCATCTATTATATTTTCTCTATAACGTCTTTCATTAAAAGAATGCCTTATTTTCATATTAAAAAGTCTGATAAAGATATGCTACCATATATTCAAATCAGCTCCACTGTGGTATTCTATCTGGGAAATGAGATTAAAGGATTTTAGTAAGTACTGAAAGCCAGCAGAGACTATGCCTTTTGTCTATACATTTTAGCTGTCACAATGGCTAAGGTCTTTGGCGAAGGGGTGAAGTACTGTTCTACATGGATATGTAGTTTTGGGAGCAGAACCTCAAATTCGGTCAATTCTGCTCTTTCCAGCACTGACAGTTTATACCAGCTGGAAATGGCCCTGGCTTGTGCGAACAAATATATACCTATTTTTCCTCCTCTTAAAATACTTTTATTTTATTCACATAGGACAGAGAATATAAGGGAGAATGTATTGACTGTTCTTCTAGTAGTTCTTGTTTCACTTCTTGGATTCCTGACTCTGAATCAAGGCTTTTGTAAAGACATTTGGGTTCTGCTGTTTTGCCTCGTCATGGCCAGTTGCCAGTATTCCCTCTTAAAGGTAGGAAACAAGTTCATATCCAATTGATGAATTCTGCTCTAACTTCTGTGAAGGCAAAATTCTGTAAGCAAACTTTTTTTCTGTTTTGTTTTTAGAGTGTTCAGCCTGATCCTGCTTCACCAATACATGTAAGTCTCAGCCAGCAGAACAAGTCTTTCTGTTATATTTTCACTCTGTGCTGCGAAACAGTTGGCTGTTCAGTGAAGCACAGATATAGGTAGTTTCTGTTCTAGGTAATTTATGACAACAAGCCTGTGATTTTGAGACTTTGTACTACATTTAATTAATTTAGGTTATTTGAATTTATGACTGCTATTAGAAAAATGTTTTTTCTTTAAGCTGAAATGTAGAGTAAAAGCTAATGCACCTGGACTAGTTAGCTGAAATTCAATCCTGTGGCATCAGACCAACTTTTTCTTTGCTTTCTGTTAGCAACAGTTAGTGACTGAAAACAGCAGAAGTTCCAGATTAACACCTCAGTCATTGATCCGTTGGGACTTTAGATCTTTTTTTGATTTTTTTTTTCTTTTTTAATCTGGTATTGCTGATGTGTACTTTAATAGCATTCTTAGATCATCAAATGGCATAGGTTTTCCCTTTGTTATGACATGAGCACTGTTTCTTTGGATGGGGCCTGGAGGACTGGCAACCCTGTGAATGAATGCAGGTTATTGGAATGTTTGCTGATTCTTATTCATCTATTCAGTATACTTTGAGAAACTGATCTTTAACAGTGACAACCACCTTGCAAATAGCCAGTTCCTTACCCAAGTCTATCCTCATTATAGGACTGGTTTAGGAGCATCAACCTACAACTGCAAGCTGACCCTCCGTCTGTCTCAATTTCTGAGCTTTTTTGATTTGCAGACCCCTGAAAACATTCTAGTAGTCATGGGACCTCACTTGCATTTACCCCTTCTGCCAAGATGCTCACATTTCTTGTTTAGCCCCTTGAGTGTTTTTGAGGATCCCCTTTCTTCCCTCAGGCTTCCAAAGCAGCATGTTGAAAACTGCAAGTCTGCTGGATTGTTTCCCTTTGGCAGGGAGCAATTATTTTTGTCATTTTAGGGGCTGGAAATACCAGTTCAACTTGAAATTGTGATTATTTACAAGCACATGCTGTATGTTATACTCAGACGTATTTCAGTGGATTCTTAGTTTCTTTTCCACCCTAGTCATTGTGGGGTGAACTTATGATATTGCTGGTTATGATGCATTCACAGGTAATTCATATCTACATAAAAAGTAGGGAAGGTTAATGAAAGCAACTTCATTTACAGATTAATTCCATTCATTGTAGTGTAATATTTTCAACGAGTTAAAGAAATATTCCCACCTCAGTAAAGAGCTGGGGGGTTTGCACGAACTGAAATCAGATTGTCAGTTCAACTAGCACATATCTAGGCATAATAATGTGAACAGTAATCAAATCGGTTGCATGTGTACAGACATTAGTAATGTGCACATTTGTTTAAAGTGTGTGCCAACCAGGTTAGTCAAAACTTCATTGTAAACCTGTTTAGCCCACGTTTTTTATAGTATTAAAGATAAAGGTAGCTAATGAAGTTTAATCAAAACATTTTTTCTGCAGAATCCAGGTTAGCGTTTCAAACTCATGCAACAATATTGTTACAAGTATTATTCATCATATTGTATTCTGTATGTCATGCAGCAGTGCAGCAAAATAACAATAGACATAATGCCATCCTCCAAATGCTTTTCGAAAACTTTGCCAGTTGCAGACTTTTCGGTGCACCACAAGAACTCCAAAGAAAAACACAGGGTTTTAAAGACGGAAGGCATTAGAGCTCAAATTAATTTGGAAGAGTAACTATTTTTATGTTACATATTTTTAACACAAGAGGTATTAATAAAAGCTTGCTTAAGCTAGTAAGCCCCATTAAAAATAAGACAACAAAAAGGCAAGAAAAGAGACTCCGTGTACTGTTTCATAATTCATGTGACTACATCAAAATTAAAGAGAAAGAACATCTCTTGATGCTAATGTAAGGATGCGGAACAGCAGGGGGATTAAAGAATGATCGGTGCCATGTCCATGAATGAAAATGCAGATGAGATATTTTGGTGTGAAACAAACCGTCAGGAGCCACAGATTTGCACAAAGAATTAACTTTTATTCCTAGATTCATGAGTAGCCTCTAATGCCTTGTGTTATCTATGCCTGCCAGGGAGGATCCAAACTTATTCCCTATCTCTCACATGCAGACTTTGTTACAGTTTGATGTGGCTTTTAAGCTCTAGCCTATACCATTTTTAAAAGACTATCCAGTGAATTCAGAAAACCCAGTGTCCAGGGATGCATAAGGCCTTTATTCTGAACTCCTTCCAAGTGCCAGTCTATTCACTTTCTTGTGTTGAGCAAGAGGTGGCTGACTAAACTCTCTAAAGTCTGATTCAGTTTTATCAGAGATAAGGTTGTTTCTTGCCCCGTACCATGTAACAGCTATGGTCTCTAAGTCGGTCCCTGTGTATTGTCTCTGTACTGTCAGTGTTATGAGGGATGAGTTTCAGCATGTAGGAAAGAACCTTTCTGACTTAGATAATGTTTTGTTTTTCACCTGTAATAGTAGTTTTGTTTTGAACAGCTTTGATAAACGTTTAAGTTGGAGCTTCCTGTTTTCTATAGCACCGATTCTACAGTTACACTAGTTCTGCAGTAGTTACTTGCTACTGGCATTTATTGTAGCGGCGGGTTTAGGACTGTTTCACTGTTTCTTGCTGCAAGGTGAAAGTCTAATTTTTCTGTCACTCTTTTCAGACTTATTAGTTCTGGTCAGCTGGGAGCTGGTGGTCTTTAGTTTCTCTTCACACAGGGGTACATGGTTCTGGGATAGTGAAATTCTGTAACAGCCTCCTCACTGGAGTAGTGGTCCATTTCAGAACTGAGCTTAAGCATTTTCTTAAAGGCATAATATGATGGATGTGCCAGTGAGTAAAAGAAATTAGATTCAGAGATCCAGGAGATCCAGTCTGCATGCAAATATTGTATTTCAAGCAAATAGGCAAGCAGGGTTTGATAACTATGGAGTTTTTTCAATATGGTAATGGGTAGCAGCAGCAGCAGACTGGGCAACAGAGGCTGTGTCTGTAGTAAATGGCTAGACAGAAGGATCATAGGAGCTTGTTTTTGGTCACTATCAGACACCTATATGGCTTAGGACCTAGCTCAGGTTTACAAAGGCATTTGAGCTTTGAAAGACTGCAGTCAGGCTCCTAGTAAGATTTACAGAATCACTTATGTAACTTCATTGTCTTGGTGGCATTACCTGCCAAAGCAGTTTAGGAACTCAACTAGGTAACTACCATAGGCAGTTTTGTAAATTCCATAAGGCACTTAAAGTATTTTTAAAATGTTCCTATAAGCTTTGCTTTAGAACCCATCACACACTCCTATATATAAAGATTTCTATCTTTTTCTTCTTGTATGTGTGCACACGCAAAAAAAACCACTATTAAATTGGAGCTATTTGGAATTTCCCCTTCAAATGTTTTGTAATGAAAAATGTTATTTTACTAAATGAAACTGTTTGTGAAATCATTCTAGCTTTGTTGAAAATCTTCATATTTTCATGAAAATATGAAATGCACCAGTGCTGGGTTTGTAGGATGTGAACTGAGACATATGAATCTGAAAAATTCAGTGAAATTTTTTTCAGAATTAGGGGAAAGTAGGAAGAGTTTTCACTGAAATTTTTCAGTGCAGAAAAAATGATTGTTCAGCAAATTGGATAATTGTATAAATTCTTCTGAAGGAGGATGTAGAGTAGGCCCACCAAAATGAAATCAGTTTTGTATGGCAAAACTGATCAGTTTGCCTAATAGACGCAAACGAGCCCTTAATGTCCAAAATACCCTATTGGTAAGTTGCACTGCCAGGTGCCCATTTCAGTGAAAGGCTGCCTCAGTTTGGCCTATCAGTTGCAGGCACAAGAGGGCTTCACACTTTTCTCTTTTTAAAATCTTGAAAGAAGGAGATGTAATGTCCATTCTCCTATGGCTTTCACAAGATAACGCACAATCTTGGAGATCCTCTGTTTCCTAGAAGGTGTCTGCTCTTGGCCGCTCCTGTCCTGAGCACTCTCTCTCACACGAAGGATGTAAATGACAGTCATATACAACACCAATACTCGCAGCAGTTCCTTTTTCTTGTATTGCGTGTTCCCTGAAAGTGGAGTACTCTGTGCTCTAGGAAACTTGTTCAGCTTGAGAGTATGCCAAGTGCTGTGACAGCTATGTTGTCAGTGTCCTTCTGAATGCATCCCTGCACTTGATTCACTTTTGTTGAGCCAACATATGAGTGTAGGCAATACTTCTATTTCAGAATCCTGTCTCTTTTCCCTCTGCCATCCCCAAAGTAGGGAAAAGAGTGCTTGATCACATTTTGCAGGCAGTTCAGACAGCCTTTGAAAGTTTCTTCCTCAATCCTAACTAGTCCTATCCTTATTAGCCTGCTAACATAGATCTGTTTAGCAGTGTGAGTTAAATGTATACTGTAAACCTAACTGGATCTGTCAGTGCCGTGCTTGGAAGTGATGTGTGGAGCTAAATCTCTGAACTTGTAGTCACTGGACAGCATCAGCTCCATCTTATCAAATTGACTTGAAATAATTACTGTGCAAAGATAAATCTGGGTTCCATAGTTCAAGAGATAAGACAGGGATTTAAGATTACAATAAAATAATCTTTGATCTGGAGTGTACATCAGTATATAAATCATTGAGCAATTGTTTAGAGCTGATATTTTAGTGGGTTTTTTTCTTGAGGCACAGCTTGTATTTCAGATAAATGAACTGAAGTTTAAAAACAGCTAGTAAGTAATATATTAAGTGCTATTTTTTTAGTCATATTTTTGTCTTTCTAAATCTCCTTTGATTTTTTTTCATGGGCATGCATCCTATTAAATAGAAAAGAATTGTAAGCTTTAGTAATATTCAAACTCTGATTAAACGCTAACTAGAATTTGTCAGTCTGACTTAATTCACATTTCATGAAGGCAGGATGCAATATAAGCATGCTAGTTCTCTGCAATCTGTCACCTAGTTAATTGATTGATCCCAAAGGAGATTGCGGATCAGTTAATAGCAACGCTTAACGTATGAGCTTGGCTGGCAGCCAAACAAATATACCTACTGTTTCAGATCGGTAAGTAGACGCAAAAGAAATGATCTTTTATTATACTCATTTGAATTACATTTTACGAATAAGAGCAGTTTCACAGCAACTATTTGTAAAGCAAACCTGAATCCTTGTCACTTTGCCCCTGTCTTTTCATGCTCAAGTGCGTCCTTAACTCCTCCCGGTTTCTCTAAAGGAAAGTACAGTGCCTTTAGCAGCATCACAATGAATCAGTTTAATACTAGTTAAAAGAAAAGAGTTTCCACCTACTAAGTCACCCGTAACACTGCTCTGTTTTAGGAAGCAACAGTGCTGGTCTTCCCCAGACTACAGGGGAGGTGAACAAAGGACACCAATGGAAGGAATCAGTTCTCAGAAAAAGTTAGAATCCTGAAGATAGACCTTAATAGTTTGTTCAGGAGTGACAGAGGTGTCTTTTGAGCATGTGTTGCACTTTCAGGGCATGTGAACCAAATAAAGTAACCATTCACTCAGACTTCCGCCCAAATTTAAAATGACTGATTCAAAATGTTTGCAATTTGATATTATTCTTTAGCTCCGGGTGGGCAGTTTCCAGAAGGATTTGTTGTTATTTATTGTTGTTTTTTTAAATGTGTTTTTGGTCTGGCAGGAAACAGAATCTTCTCTGGAAAAATAGCAATAACATACTCATCACCACTATTTGGTCTCATATTATGATGATATCTTACCTTTTATGTTGTAAGCGATCACACCAGAGACCATTGTTGCTTCTGTTATGTGCTATCTCTGTGATGTTTGATAAAGTGCTCTGACTCCAGAAATTTAACGGCTACTAGCAGTAGGTAGGCTCAAACCAAGATCTTTTAAAGCCAGGAAGCAATTGCAGATGTATAAGCAAATAGAGATTGAATGGGATCCTGACAGAAGGGAACGTAGGCTCATTTTGAGCTACAGAAATGCCTGTAAAGCTGGCTATTTAGAGCAGAGCTGATTCCAAGTGACAGCAAATACAGAGGTGGGGAGAGGGTAAGGAGAGGGCAGCAAGCATTCAGCTGCCAGAATCAACCTCCATGCCTCACCATACACTTAGGAGATGCGTTACTATTTTTTTAATTTCTCAGGATGCAGCTAAAAATGAATTTTATTTGCCATAAAGTCTAAACAAAAAGCCAAGCTATCCGAAGCAGACACTTACTCTAATAAAAGTAGTATGAATATAAAACTTTCCATTGAAAAGAGAATTTCAGATAGATTCAGATTTTTTCGCCATGTAAAGTGACTACTTTGGCAATTAATGTATTTCAAAAGGTTCAGAAGGTTAGTTTTTCAAAAGCATGAATAATTGCTGGAGTTGCTTCTTGTGCCCTTTGAAAGTCTGGAGAAGCCTTGTAACATTTTTATCATTAGTTAGCGTGTATAAGTCATTAAAATACTTTGTCTGACTCCTGAACCTCTCTTCAGTTTAGTGCAGTGCACACAGTAGGAAAATAAAACACAAAATTCAAACACTTTTTTTTTTTCCAGGGGCACAATAAAATCATAACCTACAGCAGACCTGTATATTTTTGTATATTGTGTGGCCTTATTTTGCTGCTAGATGCTGGATCTAAAGACTCAAACCCTTCAGTTTATACAATGTATGGCTTGAAGTTCTTTTCACCTGGTTCTCTCCAATCAGCCAGAGACCATATAATAGGTGAGTCAATATTTTTCCTCAAATTGTAAAAATGAATTAAGTGCTAGCTGGGGAAGTTTGTATTTTCCCATGTTGGCAATCAAATGCATGTTATGGGGGCACAACTCTTAAGTCAAATTGATAGAAACATTTGGAATGACTTAAGACACATACAGTGGAGGGGGGACAGTTGGCAACCTTCCCTCACGTGAAAGGGGTTTTTAATGGAATGAGGCTCATAGTTGTGTTCTCTGTAGGAAACTAACAGTCACTGATGTTATTAGCAAAAGACATCATCTGTGAAATGCAGTTAATCTTTGCCCTTTGAGAAGGGCTTCTCTATGTGGGGCAGTTACTGTAGAATAAGCTGAGATTTAAATTTAATGTCTGAAAGCTATTCCGTACCAAGTCTTCAAATGGACATTCTTCTGCTCATGAAGAATAGACTTTCTCTTGGTTTAGTTTAATCTTGCTATCCCCATGAGGAGTTAGTGTGGAATGGCTGTTCTGCAGTAGCTTTACCAGTCTGTTTCCTTCTGTAGTCGTGTCCTGAGGTGGCTGAGGACGTTCAGATATTGTCCTCAAATTGGGACTGATGGCTGTTTACACTGATTTGGGGCTTCCACAACTGGAAATCCCCTGTTATGTTCTTTTTTCTTTTTTTCTTGTTATACCCTTGCAGTCTATAGCTGTGGTGCTACTCTAACTGTGTTAGAATGTGAATGCTGGACTGGAATTAGATCAAATAATGTAAACACTGTTAGGTATAAGCAGAAAAGTTAAAATTTAGTTAACTGTTGTGAAAACTTCCCAATAGCTATGTAAGAGTTCACCAAAGAGAAGACCCATTGTTTTGTGAATTTAGAACCAGGGAAACCTCCTAAATTAGAGGAAAGAGCTTAGCAGTATGAAGTATGTGACTTTTGAGGTCTTTGTTCACCTGTGACTGTTGTACTTGCGTTTTGCTATACTGAAGTCAGGCTATTACTGCCTGAAAGGCATACTGTTTTTAGGAAAGTCTTCTGGTCCTTTATGTAGGTTCATTGACTCCCAAACCCTCTCGCAAGAAACAGGGAAATAATGAAGACCTGCATCTCACTTATTTTCATTAGCTTCTTTCATTACTTTCCTTTGGTCTCATTAAAGTTTCTTCTTGCATCTTATTTTCTCTGCCTGTCAAAGGTGAACAGTAAAAATGCTGATAAATAATTCAACAAGAATCTTAAATGACTCCTGGGATAGAGGTAAATGAGAAACTGTAGCAACCAGCATTAAAAAAGTGTGGTTATAAATGTGCTAATTTTGCCTGGCCTCAAAAGAGATCATAGAGCAGGTTCTTGGAGCAGCCTTGAGAGGGGTGAGAAAGGAAATACAGGCTCATCTCACCAGTTAGAGTCTGTTTAAAAAAAGAGAGAGAGAAGCAGCTATTTTCCTTTGCTGGTCCCCCATTTTTATTTTGCCATCTCTGGGAGCAAGCCTGTCTGTAAGTACATTTGTTCAAGTGATATTTGGTGCCACGCTCTGACTCTTCCTAACTTTATCTCTACAGGAATATCAACTTCTGGTTCCTATGAATCCTTGCAAGTTTTCACAGTGCAGTCATTTGCCTAAGCCATAGCAGTCTGGCATCCTCCAGAATCTTGCTATGTTTTGAGTACAGTTTCCTTTAGATGGTGAAGGAATGCAAATATTTGTTTTAGGTAGTAGAATTGGGAGGAAAGTTAGCCCCACTGAAGACCAATGAAAACACTGTTATTGTTTTACCTTCTTACTAGTCTGTTAGGTATTTTTGTTCTCTCTTTGTTGGCATGCCGTTATATGATGACTTTTTAATTTATATTTTACCAGTATTTTATTTTAGTATTCAGAAATGATTTGTTGGGAAATCCAGAAACTTTTGATTGCACATCACAGAATACTGAGAAAAGGAAAAATTTTCTATGTTATTTCAGATATTTACTATGGGGAAGAAGTTAAGGTAACAAACGTTGAAGAAAGGACTGACCAAGAAACTAGTGTGATGCTGCATAGAGCACTCTCATAAAAGTCTTGAAACAAGATTGTAAAATAAAATTGAAGGAAATTTGTTAGATGTGTAATCTAATTACTTACAAAATATGATTTTAACAGGTCCATTTCTTTGTGAGCAAGCTATTTAGGAGCTGATTCTCTTTTATTTTAAATTTGTGATGGTTCTGCTATTGATTTAAATAGTTGTAGGATCATGCCTTTAATTTAGTCTGATTATGATTTTCCTTTTGAATTCCTTATTTCAGCTAGTATCTTCAGTAGATTAACATATGTAGTGCAAGTAAGGGTGCAGAGCCAGCCTCTAGGTCACTAAGCGCTATAGGTATGGTCAGTGACAAAAGTAGTTATACACTTAATGTGTGATAGTTTTTGTGATGAAACCATTTGAGCATTAGACAGATGGGTGAAATTATTTGTCAGAAACCTCAGAAGAGTATCAGGTGATGGCAAAATCTGGCGGTAGCAAATCCTCTGCCTGTCACTTCCAGCAATAACTGAGGTTCTGCCAGGGGAAGAAAGCCTCTGTGAATAATGATCTTAGCAGTCTTTGGGAGGGGAGGAAAAAAAGGATGATTTCTCACCAAAATAATATTTTTTTTCCTGTGAAAAAACTATGTATTGTCACACAGCAAACAGACCAGCGCTAAAATATACCTATATACCTCTTTTTAATAAAAAGTATTACTTCTTTAACTTCTGAAGGGTTTGCAGTGACATTACCATTGAGTTACCATCCTACATTTCTCAAAACACGAGAAGTTTCTGTGAGTCAAAACTTTTATTTCCTTACCATGCTCTTCATCTGGCTATTTCTCTAATAGAAAAAACCTCCAAATTTCAGTGTTAAATGCCAGAAGTTCACGAAAGCAGCAGTGACTGAGCACTTAAAGGTGTTGTTGTGTATGGAATCTTGTGCTGCTTGAACACGTTCTCTCTGGAATTCATAATGCAGTTCCAACCGGTTAACCGGCTTCTTCTATCGTCTGCTTCACGCAAGGGAGACTGTACTGCTCATGAATTCAATCCTCTTGAAAGTGACAACTGTTTGTTTTCCTCATAAAGGTTTACTCCTTTATGCAGGATAAGGTAAACAAAGCTACCTTAGCCGAGGAAGTTGCTAGGATTCCTCAAGGTATTATCAGAGGGAGGGCGAGGTGAGGACATTGATGTAGTCAACCAACTTTTCTCTCCCTTGTTTGCCTTCACACCTGTTTCTTTTGGTGTATTGACAGTAAGTACTGTCTCCAGTCTTGTGCTTCCTTCCTCTGCTCCTGTTCAGCTTATTCTTACATTGTGACAGCAAAGACAGTCATTGGGACTGTGTGAATTGGTCATCTTAGATGAGTTCTGTTGTGATTCCTTTGCCCAAGGAACAAGATCTCCTGCTAATGGAGATTGGGTTGGCCCGCTGGGGAGCTTGCCATCATGCTACTGTCTTTTGTCAAAAGTCCTTGCTTGGCTTGGTATGGATTAGTGGAATAACTAAAAAACAGTAAAGGAAGAGGACATAAATAATGGCATTTGCATGCAAAAGGTTGAGAAGACGGTATTTCCTCATGTTTTTATGTCTATATAATTTGTGCCATTGATAGGAAGTCATGATGAAGAGTGCATTGTAAATGCAGGTATACTTAAGTGAGCCCTGTCTGTGTTTAACACTCGAGTGTGTCATTTCTCCTCCTGTGTTTAACTTCCTCAGTGAGATTTACGGTATTGAATGCTAGTAGCGTATAATAGAATGAAGGTAAAAGCTGTCAGATCAAACTCAGTGTATTGTTTTATTTTAGCACAAGATGTATTAGTAAGAGGAACTGAAAGTGAAATGTGAAATTAACATCCAACAAAGAACACAAATTCTGTTGTTACCTTCTTATAATTTGACTGAGGAGTAAAGGGGAATAAGTTATATTAGTGATTTGCTTAATCTGCTTTTTATCAGAGTGAGCAGAGGAAATTGTAGGCTTCCTAGCATGTAAAGTAGCACATACATATTTGTTTACAAGGAAGAGTGGTTGACACAGGTCCCTGTCCTTCAAGATGCAGAGCATTCTGGTACTAGTACAGTAAAGCAGCAAGATTATGTTTAGTCATGTGTGTGCATCCTTGAAAGCTGAGACTTATGTTAAGCATATGCTTAAATACTTTGCTAGGCAGCTCTGCTTAGCATTTCTAGGGTGGAGGTGTGAGAAATGGATGGGAAGGACCAGAGGCACAAATACCTGAATTATGATTTCTGCTTTTCCTTGACTTTAAGGTAGCGATGTTAAGTTAGCTTCTTTACTTAGAAATAAGCTATGTAAAGATGGCAGTCTGGATTTTACCCTTGGATTTCTTTACTATTTTAACTGGTCTTTCAGTGCTGCAAAGTTAAGCTATGCACTGCTGGAAGTTTGGGGGAATATGCTGAGGAAGCATTATTATAGGTTTGCTCCATTTTTATGTATTTTCTCAGGTGTCTGATGTTGACTGCTGCTGGAGGCAGGATACTGTGATAATCAAGATACTGTGAATCTTAGCCATTAAAGATTTTTGTTGTTTTGAATTTTTATAGCTATACTTGAGTAATCTCACCTGTCTGATTCAGGGAGGAAATTTCAAAGTCTGCAAATTAAGATTTCTTTCTGTATTTTAAGTAGAACAAATATAACTTTGAAAGTGTTTGAGAAACAGTTAAGGAGGCTACGTAATGCTGTTTTTCTGTTGCTGTTTGGTTTTCCAAAATAAAGCTGAAATGTAACCTCTGTGCCTCAGTTTCTTGCATGTAAAGTAGAATAATTTTCTATGGATGGGAAGTGAAATGTAATCATTGCTACTAACGTTAAAGTATGCTGGCTTGGGTAACCTTCAGAATTTCTTGAAATGGTTATCTTAGTTTAATGCATGTTTCTCTGTTCTTCATACATTGTAACTTATGCCTATGTTCTAACATGTTTCTTTTTCTTTCCTTTAGTGTTCTTGTATTGCTTTCCTGCAATTTCTCTTCTTGGTCTTTTCCCTCAAATCAACACCTTTTGTATATATCTCTTGGAGCAAATAGACATGTTGCTTTTTGGTGGCTCTGGTAAGTAGCTTCTGAGCTGTCCATTTCAGAGCCCTTCACCTTAGAGTAAAATATATTGTTGCACATTTCAATGCACAGCACATGTTAAAGTTGGAACAGCTAATGGTAATCTTGCAGGAGTGGGATGGGTACCAACAGGACCTCCTCGATTAGATTTCTTTTTGCTTTTGAATAGTTGTATTCAAGCTGTGCTACTGGTTGTAGAAGATGGCTGCTGTAAGAGAACTGTTTTCTAGCACATCCAATATAATTTCTTGTTTCTATATATAAAAAAAAAAATGCTTACAAAAAGCTCTGCTAAAACTCTCTCAAAAAAAAGCCTTAGTCTGCATTATTCCATAGTAAGGCTTTTAACATGATACTGGATGTGATCATGTGTGGCATTATTTCAGTCAGCAATTAAACAAGACTGTGCATTGCTTTTGTTGTTGGGTTTTGTTTCTCATTTTAGCTTAAATAACAGAGAAGTTTGGGTCCATCTACATTGTCATCTTAGTTTAGATCAGAAACAAACCTTATCTTTGTTCCCATCTACCACGGTCTGTTTCGCATTGCGGAGTGATGTCAGATTATGCAAACTGAATTCATTTTGGATGAAACGTAAAGAAAGGTGCACTCCAGGAGTACACCTAATGCACTGCAGCCGCCAATGAGATAGAGTCCACAGGATCAGGCTAGAGCTAGTCTGCAGGAAACATCTCAAAACACAATATGACGTCCTCTGCACTTTTCACTTTGCAAACTCTTTCTTAATGCTTCACTCTACTTGCTGCTGTGGATGTAGCCTTTGGCAAATGGTTAGAACTAGTAGAGATAACAAGGGTATTTTTTGTCTCTTAAATAACATAGCAGACCTGAAGGAAATAATGTGTTGGGTAAAGTTCTCATCCCATCCACAATGATGATTACAGTGTATATTGACCCCTAATCAGAGCACTGTTTTGCAGCCCATGTATTTCCATTACTGAACTCCTAATCCTGTCTGACAGCACCTTCTACCCTGGTTCTGGAAGCTCTCAAAGAAAGTTATAGCAAGGAACCAGATGGCATCCTTCTCTCTCCCTTTAAGCTCATTCATGTATCTTGAATAAGGTGTGAATCATGGTTGAGAGGCGAGTGAGGATGTATGTGGATGTTATGTAGGCCTGTGTCCCAGGAGCAGAGGGAAGGAGGAAAATTCCATGTGGCATTTGACTAGAAAATTATCCTAGGTCTGTTTTGTAGATTGTTTCATTCCTTCTGTGTAAGAACATGAAGAAAGTTGGAGATATTGTGGTAAAAACAATGTGCAGGATAAAAAGCACTAGTGTGGGACCTCATGTCCATAGAAAACACATTGAACAGAGTGGCATCAGGCTTGCGCTCCTAGCTGCAGACAGTTTTGTGAGCTGATGGGGACACTGAAGGTGTTCTCTGAACACCTAGTTTTGCAATACCTAATTTTATTCTGTTCATCTCTGGTAATGAAGGAGCTGTGTTTTTGATTTTGGAGTTTTTTCTTGTTTTGATTGCAACTTCTCATTTAGGAAGAATTTAACAAGCATATAATGTCTATGTTTCAGCTGCTGCTGGGTTCCTATCTGCACTGTACAGCATTTCTCGAAGCTTTGTGGTTCTGATTGTCCTATATGCGTTCTGCTTCAGTGCAGTGAAGGTAAGTCAGAAAAACTTCAGTAGCATTATGGACTTTTCACACTGCATGTAAGGAGCTCAAAATTCATCTAACCTAGGGAGACCAAAATTGTCTTGCACTATTTTGTCAATAGTTATTTATCACGTTAGGCCAAGTTTTAGGTTCGGCCTATTAGCTACACTGAAATACTTTGAAACTGTAGTAGAAATACTAGAGTAAATGTTTAGCTTATAGCTGTGACTCTTTGCCTCATGCATATATCAAGATGAGGTGATCAGTTGAATTGCCACTACAAAGACTAACATCAGCCATGGCTTAAATAGCTAAAAAAAACTACCATTGATCTGTATAAGCCAGGCTGAATTTGGTCCAAATTCCTGGTAAGGTCCATATTTCCAAAGGAGGAATTAGGGTTTTATTTGCTGTTGCTTCACAACAGCATACCTGCATACCTCTAATTCTGAATTGTCCTCTGTTTTCTCCATGCTAGCGGTTACTGACACTTCTGGAGCTTTGGGGATGGATTTACTGGGACTGAGAAGCCCTTTAAGGAGTGGGCTTTACTGCTGTTATTAGTACCAACTGGTGTGGCCCATATATGCCACTCTGTTATGTGATGCTGTAGCAGCCACATAACTATACAGCCCCTCTGCTGCTAGGCAGATAAGGATGTTGGATCAGCCCCAAATCAGCTTGTGTTCCATTGTTGTATGTTTTATGGTGGAGAAGATTGACTGCAATATGCTGTCATGTCCCACGGTAAAACCTTGATATACAAGGTTCAAAGTTAAAAAGAGATTTCCCATAGCTATATTGAAACTGTAGGAGTAAACCGAAATAAGAACTTAAATGTCTGTCTTAGGCAGACCAGCAGACCACCTAACCTAGTTTTTTGTCCGTCAGTGGCAAAGGGAAATGCAGTTTAGGGACCTAATGCAAGCGAGACGACTGTTAGCTACGCATTTCCTAGTAGTCCACCGCTATCCATAATTGTTGGGTTAGGGGTGCTGGAGAGTGCCTCCCTGCCTATTTCATTTGGTATCTGTTTGTGGACCTATTGTCCATGAATTTGCCCAATCCCTTTTTGAATGTGCTTGTAGCATCTGCCTCCATAGCCTTCTGTGCAACAAATCCCAAATGTTCCCTGTCCTCTGTGTAGAGACACTTTTTTAGCAGATCAGTTAAAAAAAAAGGTAAATTTCACTGAGTCTTCCCTATTCCTAATACTGCAGGGTTTGTGAAAAAACTGTTTTGCATTTGCCTTATCTGCTGCCTTCACAGTTTTGTAGGGCTCATTTATATTCCCACTCAACAGTCTCCTCTGCAAACTGAAGACCCCCAGCCTTTTTAAAGTCTCCTTGTAAAACTGCTGTTCCATGCTCCTAGGAATAGCTAAGTTAGCTACCCTACTCTGTGCCTTATCTTACTCGGTTATGACCTTCTTGAGATGTGGAGACTACAGCTGTATATAATGCTCCGGATGTGGGTTTGCTATGCTTCTATATGCTGTCATGCTCTCAGTACCCTTCCTGGTGATGCCTGATGTTTTGTTGTTTTCTGGCAGATGCTGCACACCGAGCCATTTTCAATCTAAAACATTTATTTTTTGCAGTTAATATATACATCATCTGCAAGTTTTTGTTTTATTTAAAAAATAATGATGAAATTCTGGCTGATTTCAAGTCTACTGTAGAATTTCCAGTGATCACAGTGAAACCAGAATTTCATCCTTGACCAAGGGTACTTTTGGCAATGTTACATTGCAGTTTAGATGTTGTCAGTGCTCGTGCAGGGGTGTATCAGGCTATGCAGTGATTTACGAGCTGCTTTCAGCATCTTGCAGCACATGGGAAGGTACTTTGTGATGCTACACGTGTAGCACGCAGAGATCCCAATATGAGGTTCTACAACAGCCAAGGATTCATCATACCAACACACAGCCAAGCAATTTACACAGATGAGAGGTGCTATCAAATGATTCTTTAAGGCGATTCTTTAAGGAGCATAAACATTTCTGTAATAGCTTTTAACAGTTTTCCACTTAAAATTTTGAATAGGAGTCTTAAATCAAAAATGCTGAAGTTAAAATGCCTTAGTGGTCCGTCATAGATGATCAGCGCTCCCATAACTGTCAGTACTTGTGTTCTTAACCACTCCCAGCGGTAAGGTAAAATGTGTTAAGCCACCATTTTATCTTGTGTCTGAGGCGGCTTGAGTCCACACCCAGTAAATTACATAAACTCAGCTGCTGAGCAGTGCTGTGTTAAGACACTCTAACTTAAGTATCTTTGAACATGTGGTGTACTCCCAAGAAATCTCCTGTCCCCAGGGTCACACACTATATGAGTTATACTGGTTTGACCTGACCCAGCTGCAGGATACCGGAAAACGTAACTGCTTCCCTTATGCAATTTCCTGAACTAGCTAGTATTCTTGCTACCATTTCCCAACTATATTAAAGAATTGGATGGTAGATGGGGAGTGAAGAATGTGCCTTTTTGTGAGGATATATGGAGTGAGAAAAATCTCTAATGAGAGGAGGAGAAGCAGTGAGAAAAATAGAGAGCGCTATATGGGAAGAAGGATTTCAGCTGAACCAGTTTGACAGGGAAATATCTGGGAAATGATCACTTCTCCCCTAAGGCTGAAAAAGGAAGATTCTGTGGTTGAGGGTAGGGAAGTTGTGTGATGGATACTTTAAAAAATAGTTTTGTAAATAGTATTAAGGAAAAGCCTCTTAAGCTATTTTACAGATTCCTTTCTTACCGTAACAGTTTAAAATTACAACATGCAGGTGGCTTCGCAGATAAGCAGTCTCCTCGTGGATTAGACTTCAGACTGCTTAGAAATAGGCTTTTAATGCTACCCTGAAGTTGTAGAGTGCTGTGAAAGATTTACAAGATACCTGTTGTAAATTACCAATATTAAGTGAAGAGTTTCTGTTCACATAGAAATTACAGCTGATTTGATTTTTTATGGCACTGTTCTTGTGAAAACACTTCTAAGGAGGTTAATTTAAAGCATATAAAGATGATTCCATTTACTGCAGCTCATCATTGTAGTCCGCTAGGGTGTTTGAGATTTCATAGATTTTTCTTCTACAAGCTGTGAAAGGAACACTTGCATTAACCCTCCTTATTCTTCAATGAAGTACAAATCTTCTTGTCTTTTGGGCTTTTATTTAGAGCGTTTCAAGGGAATGAATCTGTCAGAGTTATTTGTTGGTTGGTGGAGAAATAGTAAGATTTACCTTAAATGTAACAGAAGAATCTGACTCTGAATAGGCATCATGGTGAAGGTAGTCTAATGACGTCCATCAGAAACTGGAACTGTTTTGATATGAAGTAGGCTACGACTTCTCATCCTAATCAAATCGAGGTTTGGACTTTTGCAGAGTCTTAACTCAAAGCTGAGCAGATGTTATAAGGCCTGTTTCATTAACCTGTTGTTCCCACAAAGGTGATACTAAGTATATGGTTGTCTTTAAGGTACAAATGACATCTCATTAACACTTAAGCTTTACATCTAGTCTTTTTTTTTTTTTTCCAAATAACATCTAAGAATCCCATTGAAAGACCAGTGCTGTATCCAAAAGAGACAAAGAAGGAAAACCTAGCCCTTGAGTGTCATGCTGGATGTGTGCTACAAGCATAAGGACAAGATGATTAGGAGGAAAAAATAAGAAAAAATAAGAGTGATTTTCAGGAAGGCAGAGGTCCCACATCACCAGTTGTCTAACCAAAGATACTTTCAAAAGGAGCTATATCTTTATGCTTTCCGCTTTTAGCCAGTTTGGCAAAAGCAATGGACTGAAGCAAAATTATCAGTGGTTTATGGAGGTCAAAATCATCCCTACCAAAAAGAGTTAGGGCAAGGAAACATATCTCTGGGATGGGATTCCTGAGTTGCAAAGCTTATTCAAAGCTGAAATGTAACTTCCTCAAATGTATACTGTTTATCAGCAGAATGTCTTATAGCTCAGCGGGTGTAACTGGCAGAGTTCTATTTCCTGATATAAATTGAAGAGCAGAATGTATCTCTAAGTGCTTGTGCTTTTTTTTTTTTTTTTTACTGGTGGACAATTGCTCAAACCAAACGCCCAGGCTGAAGACCAGTTCCAGTAGTAGCAGGCTTGAACTTTCCTTCTTTAAATGGTTCTTATGTTTTAATTATCTTGCAGGGTAAAATAGTCTAGCCTAATTTTTCTGTGTATGTTAATTCCAAAAGGAGTGATCTTATTCCTGAAAAAGCTCATTAGAAGAGGAATTAATTTTCCATATATTTTTTAAATGAATTCACGGTCTATTCGTTTTGTCATGGATCTGTGTTCTTAAGTGAGCTTTTCTTGTTCTTTTTTAGAACAGAAACTATGTATACACGCCTACAATAGCAGACATTATTTGCAATCAAATTTTGAAATAATTTTAGAGCAGCAAGGTCACATCAATTAATTCTTTATCCTAGAACCCCGAGTTTAGAATAAGAAAGAAAAAGAAATGAGCAATTGTTCAGGGTATGTCCACACAGCAGTGTAATACTCAGGTTAACTTTCAACGTGCTAACTTAAGCTCTGACAACTGGGGTTAATAGGTCTGTGCTGAAATCCTGTGCCTTATCCAGACCAATTTTGCTGTGTGGATTGTGTTGTACAAAACCAACTGGGGATCTCTATGAAACAGTAACTACAGTGAAGGCATATCATTAGCTTGACTTAATAACCATTTTTTTTTTTTCCTCTTAGATAAGTTGTCTGAGGAAATTATTAGGTAGTATTCTTGACTGGGAGTTCATCCTACAGCCTTTGGACAAACTTGGCTTGCCCAAATTGTTTGTCTGGCCCTGCCAGTCTTTGTGAAGGTCTTACACCTACTTCACCTTCACATGACCAGAAATGTTTCTCTCTCATGGCTAAAATGCATATATCACCTAAAATATGGCAAATAGATCTCTAAACTTGTGCTAGCAGTGAATGTGCAATTTGGATCATAGGCAGGCTGCTTACATGTCCCATTTTATGACCC